ACCTTTATTTATATGCAGTGCTGAGAATCAAACTCAGTGCCTCACACATGCCAGGCAAGCGCTGTACCACTGAACTCCAGCCCCAGCCCTAGAGTTAATATTTTTAACTTCTGCTTCTGTGTTAATGAAACTGAAGAATATTATATTTAATCAAAGAAAGATCTGTTATTTTAATTGAATATCTGCATATTAAAGAGACCAGAGGAAAGTAAGTGAATAATCAAAGACCAAATAAAGCTCCAATGAAATTAATTACATGAGGTTAATTTAAAAAGCAGTGTTAATTTTGTCTAGTGCAAGGTACCTTTCTCCTACCTTTTTGGGTACTTTCAGTGCATTAATAATGTACATAAAGGAGAATGACTGGTATAAAATTAAGACTGTCCTAACAACAGGATATAGTTTAGTAACTAAGAATTTTGTAGGAATTTTGAATGTCACACCAATTTTCTAAATAAAAGCAAGGTAATACCACTCCTAAGGAAATTGAGTATTTGTATTTACAGATAATTTTGTTTTAAAAATTATTGATGTCCCATAGGCTCATATGTCAGTGACATTCTTGGTCCAGTGCTTGCTCCTGCTGGTATTTCTGAAGCTGCAGTAGCTTTTGTGAAAACAGCTAAAGCAGCCTGGTTTCCACTCATGTCTTCTCTGCTGAATAAGAGTTCCTTCCAGTTTTATTGAACCCTAAGTGATTTCTCTCAATGTAGGACTTGGCCACCGCATCCTCTATTCTCTTGACTCAGAATTCACTTTTCTCACTGTCCTCAGGCGGTGGTTAACTCCAGGGGAGCAGTTAGAGAGCGGCTTGTCCTCATGGGCAGATGTATGTGGGTTTCTGAAGTTTATTTCCCAGCAACTGAAGTACCTGCTTGTTTTGATTGATTTCTTTGTTGCGCTCCTAACTTTCCCTTGATACTTGGATGCCTGCGCCTGTGAGACCTTGGTAGAATGCAAGCCTGAATGTCTCCCACATCATTTTTCCAGACTTTGAACTTCCATCTCTCATCTTTGATTGCTGCAAAACCAGTCTGAAGGAAAGACTAAAAACAAATTAATATTTACACCCCCAAGTTTGACCAAAAAAGAGCATAGATTACAGGTGCCTAATAGATTAAGATGCCTAATGATGGGATCATCTTTTTTCCCCTAATATTTGATGTTAAAATGTTTTTCTTTAGAATAATTTCATTATGAGTAATATGAATAGATAATCAAAATGAAAATGATTTAAAAGGCTTGATAATACATTCCTCTCCTTTGTTTTACAACTCAGAAATTCTCACAATCTATTTTAATCAAGTTGACTAAGAAAAACTGGGAAATAGATAAGAGTAATAAATGTGCTGTTCTCATAGCTGCATTGGCAAGAGGCTTACAGTACAGGTCATCTCACTCCAGTACAGGACTCTCCACTGGAACATGCTGTTAGTCTCACAGTTTTCAGGAACAGTGCCTGACTAGACAACATCATGTCCTCACGTCAACAAAGCGTTCAAACTCTGTGCAAAATCATGACTGCTCAGAGAAAGCTGTGGCTTGCACAGCACATACCGTATTGCAGCATTCTGTGAACTGTTTACTTCATAAAGCCGACCTGATGCATACAGTCGAGGTGGACACTGCTGCTTCTCTGCTCATGTAGTTTGTAACCATGCTAGTATTCGATATGAAGAAAGCAAGTATGCTACCATAGCCAACGCAGAGGCCAGGTGATCAAGCTTCTCAGGACTGTAGTCAGAGGGCTGGGGTGTTACTCAGGCCTGACCTTCATTCCGAAAATGTCTTCAAAGATGGACCTTGGAAAGTGTCTTAGTGTGCATTTTTCTAATGACAAAAAGAAAAGTGTTTTGTAAAAATACAAACTGAAAACTCATAATAGTTGGAATAGGCTATTATTTAGATGTTTTGTTTTTTGAGACAAGGTCTCAAGATTGGCCTCAATCCTGAGTGGCTGGGTCTGCAGACATGTGCCACCACACCCAGCTAACAGGGCCTGGAACCTGCTAGGCAGGTGCTCCACCACTGAGCTGTACCCCAGCCCTGGAGTAGGGCAGTATTAAGGAAAGTTTAATACTTACCTTAAAACAGCTTATTATTCACCAATGTGCTACTATATAAACTTAAGTTTCTTTCTAATATTTCTAGATATTTTCCCATTTATAAACCTGAGACATGCTTATACACAAACAATAAGACCAGATAGGGTTGTTTGTTTTTTTGTTTGTTTGTTTTGGTACTGGGATTGAACCCAAGGGTGTTCAACCACTGAGGCACATCCCCAGCCCTTTTTATTTTTTATTTTGAGACCGTGTCTTACTAAGTTGCTTAGGGCTTTTCTAAAGTTGCTGAGACTGGCCTCAAATTTGTGATCCCCCCATCCTCAGCCTCCTGTGCTGCTGGGATTACAGGTATATGGCACTGTGCCTGACTCCATGTAGGTTTTTTAAAAAATTCTGATTTTAGATTTTCAAGCAACACATAAATATATCTTCATTGTAAAGTATTTCAAATATTGTGGCAAATACTATAGGCCCTTTGAACCTCCTTCCCACCCAATTGGTATGATGTCCTAAGGGTAACTCTGACTTAACATTGCTAAGGTTGTTCCTGTTTTCTAAAATTTTAAATGTATGAATGTATACATAGAACTTGGTTTCATGTTGTGCTTATTGATCTATAAGTTACAGTATGTTGCAGTTTGCTTTTTTCTCTCCTTAATGAGAAGTTTTGCCATGCTTCCCAGGCCAGGACATAGGGATCTGCTTCATTCCTCTTTTGTATATAATATTTTGTATATAATATTCCACAGGACTATAATTTTTTTATTGTTGTTCATCTAAGATTGGCCAGGAAGGTTATTTCCTTTTATTTTTTCTGTTAAAACAATATTAATAATTTTTTAACATTTATTTTTAGTTACAGGTGGACACAATATCTTTATTTTATTTTTATGTGGTGCTGAGGATTGAACCCAGTGCCTCACACATGCTAGGCGAGCGCCCTACCTCTGAGCCGTAACCCCAGCCCCCAATATTGATAACTTCTATATTTAAAGTAATGGACATGTTATACTTACACAAATCACTCATTGTATATGTAGGAATCATCCTTTTTATAACTTTTTATTTTATAATAATTTTAGACTTACACAGAGTTGTAAAAACAGCTTCTCCCAGTTTAGCATGTTAAGAAGCCTTGATAGATACACAACACTAAGAAAGAAGAAAAGACTGTTAAAATTTTTTTTTGTTCTTTTTAATTATACATGACAGTAGAATGCATTTGACATATCACACATACATGGATTATAGCTTCCCATTCTTGTGGAGTTACACTGGTTATGTATTCATATGTGAACATAGAAAAGTTAAGTCCTGTTCATTCACTGTCTTTTCCATTCCCATCCCCACTCTCTTCCCCCCTTTCCCCTCTGTTCAATCCAGTGAACCTCCACCCCTCCTCCCCGCTGCCTATTGTGAGTCAGCATCTGCATATTAGAGAGAACATTCAGCCTTTGGTTTTTTGGGATTGGCTTATTTCACTTAACATGATAATCTCCAGTTTCATCCATTTACCAGCAAATGCCATTTTTAATTGCAAAAAGTTGTATAAGAATATAAATATAATCATGACATAACTAACATTAACCAATGAAGAACAGTGTTTTAATAAGTTCTTTAATAAAAATGATGGATTGAATCTTGGGAAGATGAGAGGAGGGGTATGGTAAGGGCAGGTATAGGTGTGTAGTTGAGAGTAGGGGGATCAGTTTTTATTAGCCACCAACCCTAACATTTGTTTTCCATCCCATTTTAGTAACAGGACTGTGAATACACTTGTGGGCTCATCTTCCTGTAATGAACAGTGTGTCCCAGCTTTATTTCACTCAAGTCTAGGTGAGGCCACATGACTAAATTCTGCAGCAGTATTCAGTATATGTGGTGCTGAGGATCTTATAGTGTATGGAGTAAGCCACTATTTTCCTGCTGATCATCTGGAATGGGAATGAAAGCGCTGGAGCTTCTTCCTCCATGGAGGTCCATGGGAATAGAGGGTGGAGCAGGGACTTGGTACATTGTAAATGTAAGCTATCACGTCAGCATCACACTGGCTGCCAAGGGACTTGTCCTTTGTGAGATTATGTATGTGTGCAGTAAGATTCCAGTCTTAGTTATATATAGCAGAACTGGATCTTAAACCAGGAAAAAAAAAATTGAAAGTGATTGCCACTGGCAGTGGGAACTGGGTAAAGGCAAATAATTGCTATTTTTTCTTATGACCTTTTTAGTAATGATAGACATTTAAAATCATTGTGACATTTTATTTTTTATTTTATTTTATTTTTTAATATTTATTTTTTTAGGTGTAGATGGACACAACACAATGCCTTTATTTTTAATGTGGTGCTGAGGATTGAACCAGGGTCCTGCCCATGCTAGGCCAGTGCTCCACCACTGAGCCACAATCCCAGCCCCCATTATGACATTTTAAATTTAAATTACTTTAACAAAATACTTAATACTTTATATTTTAATTAATATTTATGAAAACATGATCTCTGAAAATTTGAATAGTACAAAAGCACATAGAGTAAAAGTTCTACTTTTCTTCCTCATTCTCTCTCTCTCTCTTTTTTAAATATTTTTATTAGTTGTTGATGGACCTTTATTTTTTTAATTTTTACATGTGGTACTGAGGATCGAACCCAGTGCCTCACACATGCTAGACAAGTGTTCTACCACTGAGCCACAACCTCAGCCCACTCATTCTTTCTCTTTTTGTCCACCTATAAGTTCCACTTTCCATCCAGGAATCTTGGCTGGTTGGCAAGTTTCTCTCCATATTTTTTTTCTGTACATTTATAGAGTATGTATAAAGATGCATCTTTTTCTTCTACTTGTTTTTATTAAAAGTATATTTATATTTTAATTTAAAACAGTTTTCACTTGGGACTATTTAAGGTTGTAACAGATGTTATTTGTTTATATTTTTAGAATTCGGGATGCAAGCATACAGCTAAAAAGTCAACAAACTGAATATCAAAGAGTACATAAAGAACTGAGTCATTTGCAACATGAATTAAAAATCAAACTTAGACTATCACAAGTCTTCAGGTAAGATCATACTTAAAGAGTTGAAAATGATAAAAATTTAAAAGATACATTTAATACTAACTTTATTATGAAAATTTAAATATATTTTAGTATTATGATTTGTGTATCTGGTATGATTTAGAAAAACGCAAATAGCTTTGCTTTTTTTTTTTTGGAACCATATAGCAACTGAATAGTTTCACTAATAAAATTTAAATTGGGCAAACACCTTGTTTTTCTTATTTTGTAGTGACATATAAAATAAAAACACAGTAGCTACTTTATTTCTTTTGATCAGTGTTCCCTGGTGTATTTGATCTCCGGATAAAATGTGACAGAATAGGATAACTTGATAAATATTAATACTAAACCTCCCAAAGTTAGGAGTCTCTAACACAAATGTTGTTCTTTCTGAAGATCTATCTAACTATCTTTCTTTCTTTCTTTCTATCTATCTATCTATCTATCTAGAAGATGAGAAGAGGGAAAGGGTTAGGGCAGTTACAGGAGTGTAACACACACATAGTCCTTTTTTTTTTTTTTGTACTGAGCATTGAATCCAGGGGTGCTTAACCCCTGAGCCACATCTTAGTTCTCTTTTTATATTTTATTTAGAGAAATACTTTTGCAGAGTTGCTTAGGACCTCCCTAAGTTGCTGAGGCTGGCTATGAACTCAAGATCCTCCTACCTCACCCTTCTGAGCTGCTGGAATTTCAGGCATGTGCCACCGCTCCCAGATTTATATGCTGTTTAGATAAAATACAATGTTCTAAACAAACTACTGAGTACATTTTTTTCTTAAAAATTACACCGAAGCTGGGCATGCTGGCACCTGCCTCTAATCCCTGCAATTTAGGAGTCTGAGACAGGAGGATTGCAAATTTGAGGCTGGTCTCAGCGACTTAGTGAGACCCTGTCTCAAAAACAAAATAAGAAGGGGTGGGAGTGTACAGGGGAGAGCACCCATCAGTTCCATCCCCCAGTGTAAATAGAAATAATAAATAAGTGAAAGTAGCATTGACTATATTGAGAACATTTATGAGAAAGAATGATTCCTTTTGCATTTTGAGTAACTTTTAGCTCAAAACACATTAAATTAACATGGCAAGTGATACAGATTCAGGATAAGTAAAATCATGCTGGATATTTTGAATGTTAGGTTTTTGTTCTTAATCTATTAATTATTACCAGAAACATTCTGTTAATAAAATTCACTGGGCTAGTGTTTTTTTAATGCATTATTTGGTAATAAACTCCTGGCCATCTACCTTTCATAAATGCTTTGCACATAACTGAGGCACAGTAAGTAATTTTTGAAGGAATGGATGAATGAGTGAAATCTACTTAGAACACAGATGCCCATTTTTGTCATCAAAAATCCGTTTTTTTGGTTCATGCCTGTAATCCCAACAGCTCAGGAGGCTGAAGCAGGAGTATTGCAAGTTCAAAGCCAGCCTCAGCAACTTAATTAGGCCCTAAGGAACTCAGTGAGATCCTGTCTCTAAATAAAATATAAAAAGGGATGAGAATAGGGCTCAGTGGTTAAGCATCCCTGGGCTCAATCCCTAGTACCAAAACCAAAACAAAAAAGAAAGAAAGAAAAAAATCCCTTTAGCCTTTTATAGAAATCTGGTAGTGAGCCAGCAGGATAGTACTGTCCAGGTGGCCACACTTCTCCTATTTTATTCAGGACCATTGGTATCCATTCTTGGCTCCTACATGAACTCTGGGCCACCTAGGTATGTCATGGATAAACCGGCTGTTTTAACCACTAGTGCCATCATGGATGGTGGGACCCCCTACATTTGAAGGTTGGACCAGGAGTACATGACATTATCACTGTGGCTTCAAGATATTGTAGAACAGGTACAAGTGATCCTCATTATTCACATTTGTATAGTTCTTGAAAGTTAGACATAACATACTTCAAGTAAAGTTATTTCATTTTATATTTTATTTTATTTTTTAACAGTACTGGGGATTGAACCCTGGGCATTGCTCTGTCCCCAGCAGAGTTATACTTTTAACTGCTTAGTTCATTCACATGTTTTCTATAGATCTGTGATTTTTTTTTATTTTTAGCCAAAAAGTTGTCACATATTGGGAGTCTGGGATCTGATATATAAAAAAATAGTACATGCTAAAAACAACTTTGGAATAATCATCCAGCTAGACATTTAGTACAAATAAAAGTTTGTGTTAAAGAATGCAGATAATTAGTGGTTTTATTTATATTTTCATTGGTAGATGCATGCATAGGAAAAGGCATACTGTAAAAATAAAACTAACCAAAGGTGGTAAATTTCAGTGACTTTTATTGCACATTAAAAGCTGATTTTAAATTAGTTTATGATCATTTAAACATATCTGTTAGAACATGAAACTTGGTGATTGTTCTGATAAAGAAAAGGAGCTATAATTGTAATCTTTCTGAAACAGGCAAGGGAAAGAATGCTGAGCTCTTCCCTCAGTGGTGATCACCTCTTTCATGAATTCTCAAGGAACTTGGATCAAATCAGTCATCTGTGTTGGGGTCACAGTGCTCTCTTTAGAGGCTTCTCTCATTTGTTAATCGCCTCCAGCAAAGTCTTCTCCAGGCTGTCCTGGTTCACAGCCCTGCTCTTGCAGCAGTGAGCAGAAGCAGAGAGAGTAGGCCCTGTGGGCTTTGTGCGTCCACTGTCCACATAGACTTGCTTTTGAGAATGACAAACAGCTTGAGAAGGCCTGCAGCTAGATACTAAACCATGGATATCAGGTACCCCGCACCTCCTGTGTCGTTGTGTGGATCCACTGTCCACTGAGGCCATAGTTGAAACTTTCCGGCAGTGCATACTTTTAGAGACTCTTGTTGAAAATCTTTCATAAGTTAATTGTGTCTTTAATTTTTTGATTTGAAATCTGGGCTCTGTCATCTCTTCAATGTTCAATGCCAACTCCAAGCTCTCTCGCTTTTCCTTCAATTCTTCAGTCTTGTTAAGACTTCATGTTTTTTTTCTCATTTTCCAAACCATGTTGTGGCTTTTTTGGTTTGTTTTCTAACCTTGATCCCATAGTTTATTACCCTGCATCTTTTTTTAAAATATTGTTTTAGTTGTAGATGGACACAGTATCTTTATTTGTATTTATTTTTATGTGGTGCTGAGAATCAAACCCAGTATCTCACATGTGAAAGGCAAGCACTCTACCATGGAGCCACAATCCCAGCCTGCCCCGCATCTTTTAAAAAACATATATATAACATATATATTATATATATATTTATATATATGTTATATATATAATATATGTTATATATAACATATATTATATATGTTATATATAACATATATATTATATCTTGAGATATAATATATATACCACAAAATCGACCCATTTTAAGTGGACAATTTAATAATGTTTACTAAGTCCACAGAGTTGTACAGCTGTTACCAATATTAGAACATTTGAATCACCCCAAAGAAAGACTCCTGCCATTTATAGTAAATCTCTGTTCTTAGTCCCCCCAACCCCCCCCCCCCCCGCCCCTGTCCTAGGTAATCACTAACTTTCCTGTTCCTATAAAATTGTATTTTTCTGGACATTTAAGATGTATAGAATCATATGGTATGTGGTCTTTTACATTGGCTTCTTTCACTAGTAATTTTTTTTTTGAGATTTATCTATGTTGTGGCATTTATCAGTGATTTCCCTTTTTATTGCTAAATAGTATTCCATTGCATGGATATGCCACATTTATCTACCATTTTACATCAGCAGGCATTTGGATTGTGTCCACATGCTGATGCTTATGAATAATGGTGAAATAAAAATTCACCTACAAATCTCTGTGGATGTAAGTTTTCATTTTTGGGGGGTAGATGTCTAAGTACAGAATTACTGAGTCTTATGGTTAACTTATATTTAGCTTTTTAAGAAACTGCCAGACTGTTTCAGAAGTGGCTACACAGTTATAGTCCCACCAGGAATGAGGGTTCTCAGCAACACTTGCTGTTGTCTGTCTTGTGGATTACAATGCAATTACAACGAGAAATAGCATCTCATGGGGATTCCATTTGTTTTCTTCTTGACTGGTGATGCTGAGCATTGTTTGATAGCTTATTAACCATTGGTGTATCTTAGTTGATGAAATATCTACTTAAATATTTTGTCCATTTTTTAGTTTGCTTGTTTCCTGGTGATGGTTCTGGACGAGTTCTTGGTGTGTTCTGGGTAAAAGTCCTGTCTGTGAAACATGATTTGCAGTTAGTTTCTCCCCATCTGTGACTTATCTTTTCACTTTCTTAGTGGTGCTTTTGAAGAGCAAAAGTTTTATTTTTGATGAAATATAACTTCTGTTTTCTTTTGTGTACTACACCTTGGTGATATATTGAACTGCCTAAGCAAAAGTCACAAACATCGTTCTCCTATAAGTTCTTCTAAAGTTCTGTTGTTTCAGCTCTTACATTTAGGTCTAGGATCCATTTGAATTAACTTTGTATATGAGGCAAGAATCTGAACTCATCTTTTTCTTATGTGGATATTCAGTCTTTCCAGCACCACTGTCAATAGACTCTTCTTGAACTGTTGGGCTGCATGGACATCTTTAGCCAAAATCAGCTCACTGTGAACGGAGAGGACACCTCCCTGCACTGTGTTGTTTCTGTGTCAGTGCTCCCTCTCTGAACGCTAGCCTCAGTGCACCTGGAAACAGGAGCTGTAAGTCTTGCAGCTTTCTTGTTTTCACGGGTGCATTCCCCTCTCCCTTGCACTTCATCTGCACATAGGGTCAGCCTGGCAGTCTCTTCAGTAAGTTTGGTGGTCAATTCAATTGTGCAGAATTGCCATCTTTAAAGTACTGAATATTTTATTTAATAGATGTTATCTATTGCTGTGGAGGTCTTTATTTCTCTCTGAAATGTTCTATTTTTTTTATATTTCTCTTATTACATTTATTTTTTTCTTTTTTTAACTATCTTATTTTCATCATTAGCATATTTCTAACTTTTTAAAAATATTTTTTAGTTGTAGATGGATACAATATCTTTTTATTTTATTTATATGGTGCTGTGGATCGAACCCAGGGCCTCACACATGTGACACGAGTGCTCTACTGCTCAGCCCTAGCCCCAGCCCCTACAATTTTTTTTTTTTTTTAGTAGTAGTTGGACACAATATCTTTGTTTATTTTTATGTGGTGCTGGGGATTGAACCCAGGGCCTCACACATGCAAGGCAAGTGCTCTACCACTGAGCTACAGCCCCAGCCCCCCTACATTTATTTTTAATGTTTTATTCTTGTGTTACTATAAATGCAACTGTTTCCCTGTTTTCTAATTTTATTTGGGGATTTGTTATTGCTAACATACAGAAATAAAATTGCTTTTTTCTGCATGTGCAGCTTGTGCCTTGCAACCTTGATGAGGTTGTTTTCTGGTTCTAGTGTGTGTTTGGTTGGTGGGGGAATTAGGTTTTTCTATATACAGGAGGCTCCTAGTTCTCCAAGCCCTTTTACCTCTACTTATTCAATTGTCCTTATCCTTAAAATCCTCAGTCTTGACACCTGCCTCCAGTAAGCCCCCGGTCCTCAGTGAAGAATCCTCACTGTTTCCCTGAGGCTCATCAGCCCCATTTAGATGTGTGTGTCTGCCTGTTATTACACAGAGAAGGTTGCCGACTGAGACAGATTGATGAATCAGATGATGCTTCAGGTTCAAAACTCTCACTCAAGTCTTCCTTCTAAGGTCCTGGGAGTCCAGGATGAACTAAGATGGTTAGATTCCAGTCATTTAAATATTCTGCCTCCACCCTGCTCTCCCCTCTGTCCTACTTCTGATGTCAGTAGTGACAGGCATGGGGGTTTCAGTAAGGGAGAGGTGACTTGGGAGCACACCATTATAATTGCCATTTGGAAAGATATTTTAGAATAGCTTCAATAAAACAAGCAAAAAATTGCAGACAAAAAATTTGGATGCATATGAATTTTTTTTAAATTAATAAAGTAAAAGCAATGTAGAGCAATTTAAACAATAGAAAAATTTCTGGCATAAACCAAATCATAATAATTTTTCAGATTATATCAAAGTGATAAATTTTCAATAAAAGTTCTTGGATTATTTGATAATCCAGTGAAGAGAAGTTAATTATTCAAATTCATTGGAGAAAGGTTTGTTTTCTGCTAATTTGACAACAGCTTCTAACATACTGAATGCAAAAATCATAGTGTACTATTTCCAAGGTGACATCAAGATAAAGTGGCTCATGAATCTTGTTATTTTAAAGAAAATTTAAGATTAGTCACTTTTGAAGAAACCTGAAACGACAAAAGGCTTATAATTGTATATAAAAAATTGATGAGGATTTCCCCAAATTTGACAACACTAAATACTTATGTAGCATTACTAATAATCTTTGAAGCCAAAAGATCTTTCTAAACTACTATTACTAAAACCACAAGCCATCCCGTGGCCAGGCCAGTGGCAAGGCTATGTGGTCTCTGTCCTCACCACTTACAGTAGCATTCAAAAAGAATTCATTTTTTGAGCCATTTATGGAGCTTATGGCTAAAAACATAAGCAAAAAGTGTTGTAGGGCATTTTAAAAGGTACATTCTTTTCTTGTATTTTATAACATTAGTGAAATTTATCAATTTTAAAATTTTTATTTGTAGTGATTTTTCTCATTGTATAAATAATTACATATAAATAATTGGAACCTAATTTTGTAGTTATCGTTTTAGTGCCTTTCCCCCAGGAAAACCATGTGGGCTCAGGCCCTTCACAGTTGGACCTCTTGGTTGATGAGCTGAGCCTTGTTCTCACCTCCCCTTGCAGAGGCACCCCCACCCACACCAGTCTTCCCTTCTCTTCATTTGCCCTTGGCCCTGATGCCCTTGTGTGCAGCGTGGCCTCCACTTGGCTCTGCCCTTGTTCCCCCGTCTTCTCCCCCCGCCTCGGCATTAGTCTTGCTGAATTCAGGCTCCCCTTCCCTTTGGCTCCCTGTTTTGATGCTTTCTCTGCCCTCTGAAGCCAGTATCTGTCTTGACCATGCCGAACTTGGCGGGGGAGGAAGGGTGTCATCCCTGAGGCTCTGGTCAGCTGGATGGAGCACACCATCCTCCTTCAGCCTCCGTTCTGTCTGTCCTTCCTTGAAGTGATCCCCCTTTGCTGGGCTTTAGCCTGTGTGCCTGTACCACACTGACTCTCCTCGTCCTGACACATCATTCCGTGATGCAGTTCCTTCTTGCCCTCCTCCCTCCTGGTCAAGATCTTGACAGCTGGTGCCACAGGCTGTTTTCCTGCTTCTGCTTATGGCTTAGCCCTGCCTGCCTCATGCCTCTCTGAGGTCATCAGCTGTCTCCTTAATATTCACCACAGTGAACTGCCCAGCCTCTGTCGGAGGCCGTAGGGCTGGCCCCTGCTTTCTTCTAGAAGTATGCTGCCTCTTCTGCCCCATTCCTTGGGTCTTCCTTCTGACTCACTGGTTGGTCCTGAGTCTCCTCTGGCAGATCTTCTGTTTCAGTTGCTTACCAGTTCATGCTGTCCAGTGTGTGTCCCTGGCACTTCTCCCTCCTCCATTCTGTCATACTGTTGGGCACAGACTGTGGTCAGGCACCGTTCTGGATGCTACGCCATCAATAAGAAAGACAGGTGATGGTTCTACACTCAGACCTTTGTGTCTACTCAGGACCATGGACACTGGCCGGTGACTTCACTTTGGGGCTTCAGTCATCACCTTACTTGATTCGTTAGGAACCCTAGCCAGGGTATCTGAAGTAGCGGAAGCCACTGGGATGAAAAAAGCATGTGATTATTTTGAGTTGTGGTAATTGATGAAGCCAAGCCTGGGGCCAGTCAGCTTGAAAAGTTCCCTTATGCCCTCAGGTTTCACGCTGCCTGTGGGACTGTGAATCTGGGAAGAATACTGTCACACAGAGTCCCGGGTTCTCCTTCAGGTTCTGTGACCAAATGGCCCTGAGCACATTTTCTTTTCTAAATGTTTGCTGTTGAATAAAAAATTAATAGAATAAATATGCTTGAAGGTCATTACCTTTCTTTGTAGTTAAAATTATAGCAAAGTGGAAATGAGTTGGCATGGCCATATACTTCTGCCTACCTGAGATACTCCCAGTTTTTATCTGTCTCAGTATGACATGAATCACACCTCCTTTCACTTTCAAAATTGTCTCCATTTAGACAATTATATGATCACTCTAAAACCACTTTTTGAAGAAATATTTGTTATTATTATTACTTTTTTAAAAATCCTAATTTTTATTTTACTACTTTGCAGTCAAAGATTGTCGGAGTACAAATATTTCTGGAATAAGACTCTTTCATTACTTACTTTTACTAAAAGGGAGCTAACCAGTATTAAAAATGAAATATATGATAATTTTCAAGACTGGACTTCACTGAAAAGAGAAGTTTTTCTGCAAATTACATCTATAAGTGAAACAGCCTTGACAGGTTTGTTATGTATATTTAGAACAGAATCTTTTTTTTAATGGTACATTTTAAGTAATGAAATAATGATATTTCATTATATGTTAATGGACTTAGGATCCATTGTTAAATCTGTTATTGGTTGGTACAGTAAGACCATTAAGATCTACCTCCAGTCCTAAAATTCACTAAGTACAGGTTGATCTGAGATACACTCTGACTTGGGCTGTGATCAGAAGTCTGTTTACTCCTGTTAATGGTGCCAATTTATATTTAAATTTTCTTCTCTTAATGGTTGAATCACTCACATTAGATCAGCTTTCCCACAGATAGTAGCTATAAATTCTGGGCAAAATGATTCTCTAAAAACATTGGAAAGTGATCAAACCCAGTTCATTGGGGAGGGAGTGTCAAATGTGGAAAGAAGGCATGTCACTAAGTGAAAGATGCCAATCCGAGAAGGTCCCTGTTGTGTTATTACAACTGCTCATCATTCTGGAAAGGCACACTCTTCAGCAGTGCAAGTGACAGTGTTTCCAGGGATTAGGTGCAGGGAGGGGACAGGTGGAGCACAGAGATGTTTAGGACAGACTATTTTGTGTGATACTACCGTGAAGGCCACATTGTTATCATGCATTTGTCAGAACTCGTGAGAGGAACAACGCCAAGAGTGAACCCTAATGTCAACTACGGATTCTGGGTAATAATAATATGCCAGTCTTGGCCCATCGATTGTAGCAAATGCACCATTCTGGTGTAGGTGGAGGAGATTGAGTATCAGCACAGGAGGTTTGTGGAAATTCTCTATTTTCTGCCAGTTTTGCTATGAACCTAAAACTGATCTAAGAAATAGTCTGGTTTTTTTTAACATTGAAAGAAAGGCATGGTGAATTCCTTTTTCTTTTTAATTTTTTACTCAAAAAAGGATGCTGAAATAAGGGCAGGGTACACTTTGCTCCATGTAGAGAGTTGCGGATCTGGTAGAAATATGTAATGGCTTTGGTCTTAAGATGAGAGAACTCGAACCAGGCAGCCTCTGCCTCTGAGAAGTGAGGGGATGCCCCAGAGAAGAGAGCCCAGGGTGGGAGAGCTCAGAATTTGTGTATAAACTCTTTCCAAATTTCTGGCTTATCCTTGAAATACATGTACAACAAGGAAGCCTAAGAAACTCACCTATAACTAAAATAATTGATATTTTAGCTAATCCCTACAACGGAGAAATATCTTAACAGTTTGAATTCAGCTAGATTAACTACTTATTACAAAACAAGACAAAAAAGCTCAGTACTCTATTGAAGGAACATAACAGAACTGGCTCCATAAGATGACATCTGCAATGTTCAGTGTATAATCCAAAATTACTTTACCTGGTAAGAAATAGAAAAGGATGGCCCAGCCCTGAAGAGTAGACAGTCAGCAGAGACCCATCTGGAACTGCCCCAGATATGTGGACAGACTGCCTCCTTCCATTGCTCTTTGCTTCTTTGAGTTTTTTTTTTTTTTTTTTTTTTTCTTTTTTACAAATTGAAAGTTTGTGGCAACAAATCAGCAAGTCTGCCTGGGCCATTTCCCAACAGCACGTGCTCCAGTAAACATATGCTCCCTGTCACATTTTGGTAAATTTCACAGTATTTCACACTTTATGGTGATTTGTGATCAGTGACGTTTGATGTTACTGTTGTAATTGTTTTGGGGCACCATGACCCATGCCCATATAAGATGGTGAACTTATCAATACATCTTTTTTTGTGTGTGGTGCTGAGGACTGACCCCAGGGCTTTGTGCCTGCTGGACAGGTGCTCTACCACTGAGCTCTAAGCCCAGCTTCTATAATCAATAACACTTATATGTGTTCACACTGCTCTACCAACTGGCCATTTCCCTGTCCCTGCCCCCCATCCCACCTCCTCTCCTGTCTCTCCATGGCCCACGGTAGTGGCTGTACCAAGCAGTGGACTTAAGTGAAACAATGTAGGTACCATCTAGGACATTTTACAGGTGGAGAAAAGTCAATGCCTGGCTCTAAAGCTTCAGAGGACAGACTAATTCACTTGTTAGGGGCTGACCCAGCTGGTGGCTTGGCACTAAAGCCAATGCTCATTTGCCATTCAAAAATCCAAGGGCCCTTAAGAATTATACTGACTGCCCCCTGCCTGTGCTGTCTGTAAATGGAGCAACAAAGCCTGGATGACAACATGTCTGTTTACAACATTGTTTACTGAATCTTTTAAACCCACTGACGCTTACTGGTCAGGGAAAAAATAAAGATTCATTTCAAAAATACACTGCTCACTGACCACACACCTGGTCACCTAAGCTCTAATGGACATTAATGAGGTTAACATGTCTTCATGCCCTAACATAGCACTCACCCATGGATCAAGGAGTAATTGTAATTTCAAGTTTTATGGCTAATACAGTTCAAATGGCTATCGCTGCCAATGACTGCAGTTTCTCTGATGGATCTGGGCAAAGTAGATTGAAAACCTTCTGGAAAGGTGGCACTAAGAACATTCATTGTTCATGGGCACAGGGCAAAATATCAAGATAATAGGAGTTTGGAATAAGTTGGTTCAAACACTCCTGTCTGGCTCTGAGGGGCTCAAGACTTAAGTGTAGGATGTAGCTGTAGATGTGGTGGAGTGAATAGCTAGAGAACCAGAATTAGCCCTGGAGCCTGAACATGTGATTATGGTAAAATTTTCACAGATGAGGGGTTGCTGCTTATGGGTGAGCAGAGAGGTTTCTGAAGATGAAATCTACTAGTACAAAGATACTGTGAACATTGTTGAGATGACAACAAAGGATTTAGAATGATACATAAACCTAGCTGACGCAGCCGGGGCAGGATTTGAGAGCTCAACTCCAGTTCTGAAAGAAGTTTTACTGTGGGTAGAATGCTGTTAAATAGCATCACATGCCACAGGGGAATCTTTCAGGAAAGGAAGAGTCAATCAACAGGGCAGACTTTATTACTGTCTTATTTTAAGAAATCCCTAGAGCCAGCCCAACCTTCAGTGGCCACTGCCCTGACCAGTCAGCAGCCAGCTACAGAGATGAGACCCTCCACCAGCAAAAAGGTTATAGCCCGCTGAAGACTCAGGTGGCTGTTAGCTTGTTTTATCCATAAAGCATATTAAAATCAAGGTTTGTGCACTTTTAGACACAATGTTTTTGCAGACTTCAGAGAATACAGCATAGTATAAATACAACTTTTATACACATTGGAAAACAAGATCTGCATAACTTGCTTTATGGTGATGCTCCCTGAGTGCAGTGGTTAGCAGCAGACTGCATTGTGTTAGAGGAACAGCTGTAAGCTGACCAGGACTTCAGATCAGCTGCTCTAGCCCTTCCCCAAAGGAAAACACACTAGTAATGAATAAAAATAGAAAACCTCAGTGAGGAACTATTAAAATTGGAATCTCTAGAACTAAAAAATACAATATCAAAAATTCACTGGATGGACTTGTAGAATTTTGCACTTATAGAAAAAAGAATCAGTGAACTGTAAGATTTATCAGTATAAATTATTCAATTTGAAGAATAGAAATAAAATGAATATTGAAAATTATAGACAGAGCCCCAGTGTCCTCAGGAAGGAATAAATGCACCATAAATAATAAATATGGGTAAATATGAGACTCCTTTTCCTTTGCATTTCTTTAAAATTCAATGCGTACTTAAAGCGAGAATTGTATTGAGTTGTTTATGCAGCATGTTGATGTACCGTGAGAGCTAGAGTATAAAGGACAGAGGAGGTAAGTGGTCCACGTATCTCCAGGATATACAAAGAACTCAAAGAACTTCTTAACACCAATAAGTAAATAATAAATGGGCAAAAGAACTGAACAAGCACTTCACAGATAAATACGAATGGTCAACAAGTATATGAAAAAATGTTCAACATCTGTAGCAATTAAAGAAATGCAAATTAAAACTACACTGAGATTCCATCTCACTTCAGTCAGAATGGCAATTCAAGAATACAAGTAATGATAAATGTTGGCAAAGATGTGGGGGAAAATGGACACTCATACATTGCTGGTGGGACTGAAAATTGGTACAACCACTCTGGAAAGCAGTATGGAGATTCCTCAGAAAACTTAGATTAGAACCACCATTTGACCCAGTTATCCCTCTCCTCAGTAAATACTCAAAGATCTTTAAATCAGCATACTACAGTGATGCAGCCACACATCAATGCTTATAGCAGCTCAATTCTCAATAACAAAGCTGTGGAACCATCCTAGGTACCCTTCAACAGATGAATGGATGAAGAAAATATGGTATATAGACACAACGGAATATTACTCAGGCATAAAGAAGAATGAAATTATGGCATTTGCTAGTAAATGGATGGAACTGGAGACTATCATGCTAGGTGAAATAAGCCAGTCCCCCCAGAAAACAAGGGCCAAATGATCTCCAATAATGTGGATGCTAACACACAATAAATGGTGGGTGTGGAAGAATAGAAGTTCATTGGATTAAACAGAGGGGATGAAGAGAAGGGAGGAAGGATGGGGGGAATAGAAATGACAGTGGAATGAATCCGACATAACTTTCCTAAGTTCATATATGAACATCAACCAATGCAACTCCACACCATGTACAACCACAAGAATGGGATTCTAATTAGAATAAATCATACTCCATGTATGCATATTAAAAATACTCTACGTCTTGTATATCTAAAAAGAACAACAACAAAAGAAAAACAGTCTGAATCTTGTTTATCGAACTTCTAAGGAAGCACATATAAAAATTTAATAACACCCCCCCATCACAAATTAAAAATCCTTCAAGAGTTTTCTGTACTATAACCATAAAATAGCATCAATGTAAAAATAGAAAATGAAGAAAATGGGCAAAAAAAAAAGAAAGAAAGAAAGCCAACAACATTGTAACTGTAATCTCCTCTCATTTAGAGAGGTACCATCCCTGTTAACATTTTGGTATAGAACTTTCTGAATTTTTTTCTTTCTATATATCTATATATCATGGACATATGGTCATGCCAA